GAGGACCCATAACGGGCGGGCGGGTCGGGCGGTGGGCGGGGCCAATTCTACTAGTACTACCACCACCACCACCACCACCACCACCACCATACATACAGGGCAGATCAAGCAGTCACCAATCACAGATCGGAGCTCTTGCCCACTCAAGTGGGATAGGAAAATAATATGAAGGCCACCCTCGGGAGCACCCGCGAACCCTTGGGCAGGGTGCTCAACCTGAGTGGCTGACTAAATGATACAAAGATTCCCAGGTGCATTCGGCCCATACAGAAGCTCCCTTGGCGACTGTTCGACCACTCTCCAAGGTTTCGAAAAGCGGCATCCCTTGGGATAAGGCAGAATTCCATTCTTGAGCATGCGAAGCTGAGCAACCTTGAGGGTCGCACACGGTGCCGCGAGGTGCGCCGCCCTGCCAGCGGTGTATGACCCACAACGGTTACAGAAGACAACTGCCGCACCAGTGACGCAAATCCTTCCTGCCCACAGGTCGTGGGCAGGCACAACAGGGACAGGAGGGCGCAGCACGGCAGCTAATGATCGAGGCAACGGCGTGCACGGGCCTCTGCGACATTTCCACGGCTGGTCCGTGGACCTACCACAGTCCACACACTGCCAGGAATTCAGACCCCAGACGAAATTGTGAGGCCCGTGGATCCCTCGAGCCAGCACCTTCCGCTGAGGGGCCCTGGGAACCCTTTCCAGCTCGCCGAAGACATCACGGGCACGGCCCCAGGGTTCCAAAAGAACAGCGAACGCGGAAAAAACGTCAAGCCAGAGTTTATACCCAGCTTCGACAACTTTGACATCCTCGGGTGAGACCTGACGGGTGGCAATTTCTTTGGCAAGAGTATCGGCCCAGATGTTACCGAGAACCCTCCTATGCTCCTCCATCGTCCTGTCTCCTCGAGCTTGGTCTTGATGTGCTTTGATTTCGTGAATACGCCAGCCCCTCATACCTGTGAGATGGTTGACCTGTCTCCAGTGCCCTGACTGGGCTTTTCTACCATCACGAGATCGTACCGCAGATAAGGCTCCAAAAACAACGGCACCACAGTCCTGGTAACAAATTGCTGGTTCATCGTCCGCATCAACGTGCAGATGGGCACAAGCATGCAGAAGGCCATGGTGCTCAGCTAGATTGGCATTGCACGGCACATAGGCTGGTAAAACTCCTCGAATGGCCCTAAGGAGATCTCAGTTTTCGGCGACTTCTGCAGCACACCACCCCCCCCTCGCAAGAAGGGGGGCGGTGGGGTGGACGACCGAACCGTCGATAGAGATTTCCATCCCAGGGGTAGTATAGACAAATTTATCAATATCCCCACCTCGATCGAGGTATTCAATCTTGTCATCTTCTGGGGGGGGGGGCTTGATGACGGGGGGCACGGGGATCCAGAGACAACTGAAGAGGGGGTCAGCAGGGCCAGCCTCAAGGGCACTGGCAACAAGCTCGGGATCCAGCTCGTGACGACGATCATCCCCAAACGGGCACTCCCAAACACGGTGGAAGGTGGTGTCTGGTGCACCGCAGTGCTGGCACTTAGGAGACACCTGATACCCTCTTTGATGCAAGACAGTGCCAGTACAGTAGCACCCCGTAAAAACCTGGCGCAGCATCTGCTTGGCAAAACTAGAATGCTTCTTCGAGCCCCACGCTCTGCTAACAGGATGGGTCCAAAGACCCCTGGCACGGATCTGGTCCGCTCTACTCGAACCCACACCTTCTAACTTGGCGACGACAACCCGACGCAGCTGATGCTGCTGGAGGTCCTGGCCAAACATTTTCTGGAGCTGCGCGGGGGGGACTAAGGTGAGGTTGCAAATCCTTCCACCCCTCGTTTTGACGTGAGCAGGGTCGACGAACTCCCAACCCGCAATCTTGCACCAGAAAAACATATCATGAATCGGACTAGCCGCCACACGATGCCACGGACCAGGGGTGACTTTATCGAACTTTTCTTTGGCCAGGGTGTGAGCTTCCTTGAGCTCTCTAGCCGACAGATTGTCTTTGGCACACAACTGGGCATCCGTACAAGTCCACCACTCGGCACTGTACCTGCGGAGGGTGGCAGCAGCATGAAAAATTGGGTCTTCGCCTGGCGCGAGGCACCAACAGAAATCGACGTTGGCCCCCGCCCCCCATAAACCCGTGCTCTTTGCAGTCTGGAGGCGAAGGGCGCGGATCTCACTAGGCGGGTGCCCCTGGATCTCTTCTCCATACGTAAGGCTCGGCTTAACGCCGCAGACAAAAATCTTTCCCTTACTAGCCGTAGTCCCCCGCATCTTTTTGATCAAGGGCAGCCTCTGGAGGCCAGCCTTCCAGCGGGCCTGGGATTTGGCCCTGGCCCCAGGAGCCGAAGGGCACCGCCCGAGGGTAAAATCGACCCCAAGGTTGATAACATGGCCAGCAATTGTCTGCCCATACTTTCCTAGCACCACAGGAGCCTGCCTGGCCACCTCGCTGGAGTTGCTGGTGAACTGCATTTTCTTGAGGGCAATAGGGAGCTCTAACTTGTTGGTCATAATATCGAATATCTGTCCAGCGAGCTGAGCCAAGGCATTCAAACATGACATGACCGACGGCATGACCACCGAGGTCGTGATGTCGTCAATGTGAATCGTGAGGTCCTCATCCTCACCTAAGGCTAGTTCTCGCGTCGATGGCAACATAAAACCTTTGATTTCGCACGTGGCAGCGGAGGATCCAGCAACTCCCCACGAGTAGGATCCAAGGGGTCACTAAGAGCCGAGTCCATCATCAGGCGACGAGGCCAACGGTAGCTGGCCAAAGTAAACCGAACCACGCGAGCAGGGAAATTACACTTCTGGGCCTCCCCCCACCAAAGAGAGTGAGGCACGTGTCCATAGCACTGTTTGAGGTCCGCAAGGAGGACCCCAATACATTTGCCTTGATTGTGGTGAAGATCATTCCTCACCGCCTGGCGCCAGACCGCATCGGTCGTAGACCTATGTGGGGCCATATTGAAAAAGGGGATGGCAGCGCACCGAGATTCCCACCTCCTGCAGGCATTGGCCATGCTCTTAGAATACAGCCGTGTCGTCGACTGGTAAAAGCCAATTGGTCTACGCCCTTCGAGGGGTTTCCGGCACAACGCCACAATCAACTGACGAAGCGACAAAGGGGCATTCCCAAGGACATTCATGGCCGTGAACACCCCCGAGAGCACACGAAAGGCCCCGTCCCCAAGGACACAGAAATGACGGGGGTGGAATCCATCAATGGAGATGGTCGCCGTTTTGAAGCTCCTCGACAAGCTTCTGAGCTCTTCCACTCCTGGGCCCGCAGGGACTAAAATCGAATCTTCACCTTCCAGGGAGAGGGGGGCCTCACGGCCGACCCCCCACGCCTCTTTCCAGGTGGTGATCTGGTGAGAAAACCTACTGAAGAAGGACGCCGAGACTGTGCCGTCAGCCTCAGTGATGACATCGTCCTTATACTCCTGGGCAAGCCTAGTAAACTGGTGGGCGCGGGATGCGCCACCACTCAAAGCTTCCTCGCACCATTTTGACCACCCGGCGTTTTGGCGCACCCTCTCTTTCTTGAAACATTCGCTCTCCAACTCAAAGAGATGGGTGATGCAAGAATCCAAACCTTCCATGTCCCAGGTCCCCTCGTCCCAAGCCCAATACGCATCGAGGAGAGGTCCTAATGCCTGCTGCACAAGCTCGTGGGCGAAGGCTCTGCCAGCAGGCCAGAACCTAGCGAAGGGCCCTCCACGCTTCTTGACATTGCGAGTGTGACGCAGCAGAACATACGTACCATGAAGGTACCTGCGCTCAGGATTGGACAGAAGGGACTTCAACTCCTGCAGACGCCTGGCAAGCCAACCTATGCACCTAGATTCGGACTGCCGAGGATTTTCTTTGGTAATGAGGAGGGTACGTAAATCAACTTCCTGAACTTCATAAGGCAAACCCCCTTGACGCCCCGAGGTGACGGGTTGGTGGTGCACATCCTTGAGCTCCCCCCAGGACCGAGTGCACCACTCGTCGTAGATCTCTGAAAGCCGGCTTTCCAGAGGCTGTTTTTTCCGCGGGGGTAGGGGTTCTAAACATATCATCGTTACTTTGAAAAATATCCAGGGCCTGATTCGTCTGCAGCTCGAGGTCCGCATAATCAGGTGGAGGTAACGATGGCCCACAAGGAAGAGCAACTGGCAGACACTCGAACTTGGCAAGTTTGTTCACTTTCAAGGAAAACGTTTCCGAAGTGAGGTGAAGATCCACTGCCTTGTGGGGATGCACGTCGTTCGAGAGATCTGCCGCCACTGATAAAAAGGCCTTCACCAGCGGCTTGCTCAAAATGAAATAGTCCAACGTCCTATGCGTGTCCTGAACACTGCAGGTGTGCACCGATGGATCGAAAACAGCTTCGCCTCCGAAGCGATCTGGTTCCAGTCCGACATTGACTTCACCAGGTGTTAAATTGAAGTCAGCCATCGTGTAAGAATATGATGTCCCAGCTCCCGACAGACGCCCAGGTTCTTCTTCCCAAGGCCGACCGCGGTGCGCCAGTAATTGCTGTAGAGAGAAATCAACCCAAAACTGCGAGTACGACAGAAGGCATGGAGGACCCGACCAGGGACGACAATATCTTTGCCATTCTCTTGCCACACATCAAGATAGCTTCTAAAAAGTATAGCTACTCCCCCCGAGGCGAAGCCTGCCTCGGTGGCGAGGGCTGGGGCCCAGAAGCTGTTCCAACCTAGTTTGCGGGCCTTGGACTTGGCCTCTAAAATTTGTGGTCGGAACAACTTGTGCTCCTGGACGAAAATCACATGGGCCCTGGAGGCCTTCGCGCATTCGAGGGCCCGTCCCCAACTCGACGCGTTAACCGTGCAAAAATGGAAAGACGGGCCACCCGAAACTGGATGCGGGGGGTCAGGAGGACGACGGGGCGAGACTGCCTGATCATCCTCTAAGTGTGTGCTAAAAAAGCTCCCTTGGATCTTTCGCACCGCCCCCGCTAGCTGCTGGGCCTCGAGGCTGCCCTGCGGCTGCGAGGGCTGCGAGAGGCTCGATTCTGCTGCTCAGATTCGCCTGCAGCTCCAGCCCCACGTGGTAGATCCTCTCCTCCACCTGGAGCAGCTGCTGCTGGGCCACGAACGGCGACCACGGGCCCGCTACGCGGGGGCCCTTCTGGCAACGCCTGCTGCCCTCCTGCCACTTGCTGGGCACCACCAGGAGCCCCAGGGGCATCTCCAAGAACACCTCCATGGACTGCTGCAGCCTCTGGCGCCCCTGGAGAAGATGGCGCCCCACCTGCACCGAAGAGAGGACCGAGTACTTGAAGGGCCTGCTGTACCGTACTGGGATCAAGGCCCGTGTCCTTCGCCTTCTGTAGAGCTGCGGCCTCCATGGCATCAGCACGCATGAGGTTGAAGAACTGCTCCGGAGTAGGTGAAGGGCTGCGTGGCCTGGCTCGCTCGGCCGCTTGCGCCACGTCCTGCGCCTCCTGGGCACGGCGCGTCTCCACGACCAGCTCATCGCGTTTCTTTTGCGCCTCAGCAAGGCTCTCCTTTGCCTCAGCCAAGGCACGTTCTTGTACTCGAAGATGTGCTTGTGCATTCTGAACCTTTGTCTCAAGAAGTCCGACCGACTGCGAATGTGACTCCACTTGTTTCTCAACTTTGGAGAGTTTCCTACTGGCCACCAGCAGGCGCTGGCTCTCCGACTTGGCGCTGTCTCGAACCTGCCGAAGATTGTGAAGCTTGAGCTGCAAAGACTTGGCTGCATCGCTGTCTGGTCCACCTTCTTGCTTGATGAGCACATCATATGCCCTTTGTAAAACTTGTATGTCTTGACCGACATTGGCTGGCTTACGCTGCTCCCTGTCCATGTTGACATCAAAGAGGTCTCCGTCGACTGGGGCACGAGCTGCAGCAGGAGGAAGAGGACCACCGCCAGGAGAGTCGGCACGTTCCTCACTACCTTTGCCTCCCTTCTGTCGCTTGCCACGCCCTTTCTTGCCTTTGCCTTTCTTTCCGCCATCCTTGCCGTCACCGACCTTGGCGTCTGCCCCACGGGGACTGTCCCCCCCGCTTTGAGGCTGCCATCCCGTAGCCGTGTGCGTCCAGTGCGAGCCGCACCTCCAGCACCAGTGAAGGTTGCGACTGGTTGTAGCCTGGCACTCCGAGCATGTCCAGGAGAAGTCACGAGGCGCCTTACCCCTGCTCCCCATTGCGGCAGACAGCTGGAGGGCGGAAGAATTGGAATGTACAGTATCGTGAATGATATGGCTGGCCCACTACTACTACTCCTCCTCCTCCTCCTCCTCCTCCTCCTCCTCCTGCTCCTGCTCCTGCTCCTCCTCCTCCTCCTCCTCCTCCTCCTCCTCCTACTACTACTACTACTACTACGACTACTACTACTACTACTACGACTACGACTACTACTACTACTACTACTACTACTACTACTACTACTACTACTACTACTACTACTACTACTACTATTACTACTACAACTACAACTGAGACTACGACTACGACTACGACTACGACTACGACTTCGACTTCGACTACGACTACGACTACGACTACGACTACTACTACTACTACTACTACTACTACTACTACTACTACTACGACTACGACTACGACTACGACTACG